AAATACAATTTATCATGTCCTTTGTCCTCTGTCTTTTAGTCCTTCATTCCTTCGGTCCTTTGGTCCTTTGGATATTAAATACAATGATCAAGTCCTTTGTCCTCTGTCCTTCAGTCCTTCAATCCTTCGGTCCTTCGATCCTTCGATCCTTTGGATACTAAATACAATTGATCAAGTCCTTTGGTCCTCTGTCCTTCAGTCCTTCAATCCTTTGGTCCACTTATCGCTCATGATTATGTTTCTACCAAAGCTCAGCTACCAGACATTTTCACCAAAGCATTGGGTGGCCAACATTTCTCGAAATCTCTAAGCAAGTTGGGCATTCGATATCTTCATGCACCAACTTGAGGGGGGGGGGGGGGGGNTGTTAAGATAGGCTTTAGTTATTTGATTTTATATGATATTGATTTGGTAGTAGTTATTTTGGTAATTAGATATTTGATTTGATTAGTTTTTTATCTCTTACAACCTCTATATATTGGATGTAATCTCACTATTACAAGCAATGGAAAATAGACATCTTTCTCTTCTATACTCTATGCATTCTCTCTTAGTTTTAGCATTTATGTGCAAATTTTAATGAAAAACTGAATAGTTATTAAATTAAAAGAAAAATTATAAGTAAATATATATCAATTCAGTAAGAACCCGATATCTTTTACGCTAGTTTCAAACTGTCTTTCCATTAATTATAGTAATTATTTATTATATTATAATTTATAATTGATTTATCATATGTTAATTTTATAAATAAATTATTGTAATTTGGATCTAATTATGTGTATTTTTCAAGTTGGGGTTTCCACATGAATTATATAATGTTAAGATAGGCTTTAGTTATTTGATTTGATATGATATTGATTTGGTAGTAGTTATTTTGGTAATTAGATATTTGATTTTATTAGTTTTTTTTATCTCTTACAACCTCTATATATTGGATGTAATCTCACTATTACAAGCAATGGAAAATAGACATCTTTCTCTTCTATACTCTATGCATTCTCTCTTAGTTTTAGCATTTATGTGCAAATTTTAATGAAAAACTGAATAGTTATTAAATTAAAAGAAAAATTATAAGTAAATATATATCAATTCAGTAAGAACCCGATATCTTTTACGCTAGTTTCAAACTGTCTTTCCATTAATTATAGTAATTATTTATTATATTATAATTTATAATTGATTTATCATATGTTAATTTTATAAATAAATTATTGTAATTTGGATCTAATTATGTGTATTTTTCAAGTTGGGGTTTCCATAAGAATTATATAATGTTATATTATTTTCCAAAGGCTTTAAATTTATTAGAAAATATATAATTTTTATTTAAAGTAATAATATTTAGCGGGAGAATTTAAGTATGTCTATCTATAGACCTCCTTCTCTTTTATCTTTGATGAACGTAGAAGGTGAATCTAGTGGGTCTCTTTCTTATAATGAGATCTATATATACTAGTACGGTTCCCGTGCGATGCACAGGAGCATTTATTACCTACTTGCTTTTTAAAAGATATTTTTGTAGTTAAATTGTCTCATGGCATTAAAATAATCATGAAAACGATATTTATATGTGTTTGAACACTTTCTTATGTACAATATTCTTTGTTTGATTCTTTGGCACGTAAAGTGCTAAATGAATGTCCGAATTTTATCTAAAATTGCGTATTATTAGTTAACAAAGTGGATTTAAAAAAATTAAGGGATCTTAATTATTATACAAAATTCTAATAGAAAAAATAATATTTTTTTAGGGTTTTTTATGCCATTTTATTTACTTTCTAAATCTAGTTCAAAATTTTGATAAAGAAAAATTGAAAAGAATCATTAGTTTTTCCTAAAAATGAAACCAATTTTCCTACCAATACACCGACTTTTTTACCAAATAAATTGATCTGAATATTTGTTAAAACAAAGTAAAAAGAATCATCAATTTTTCCTAAAAATGAAATCGAGATTTTCTAACATTGCACTGATTTTTTTACCAAACAACTTGAATTAAAATAGTTCTAATAAAAAATCAAAATAATTTGTTAACATTTATGTAACTGTTTCTTTTCTATAAAAAAATTGATATGAACTTACCAAATTTGCGTTAAAATATAGTCAAGAAAAAATATAAGAATCCAAAAAAATCGGTGCATTCAAATTTTGAAAATTTGCACACGGTTTTCTAAATAATTTGATATAGTGTGACTTTAAATATCAAACTGATTTTGTTATAAAAAAATGTGGATACGAGTTTGAATGTATATTTTGTCCATATCTCAATTTTGATTTAAAATAAAATTCGCGAGTGGTTTTATCCGATTTGCACACATTTTGCAAAAGAAAAAATTATTCAAAAAAATTGAAAGAATTCGTTAAGAATTCTAAAACTACTTGTTTAATAAATTTGTATCTAATTTGCACGGTTTTAAAATTAATTTGTATTTAGAATTGTTTTTGTAAATAATTGACATTTTTTTGCATAGGAATCTCTAAATTTGTTACGAAAAAAATAGGATTCAAATTTTGATAAAAAATAAAATAAAAAAAAATGATACAAAAAAATAAAATTTTAATTTTGTCAAAAGAATTTCTAAATTTGTTACAAAAAAAAAAAATAAAAAAATAGGATTCAGATTTTGTTACTAAAGATTCAAATGTGTTTTTTTTTCTAAATTTCTACAAATAGTAAGTCAAACATTATTTTTTTTAGTCAAACTTTCTATTAATGTATTTTTCTAACCTCTCTATATATAGATAAAAAAAATTGATATGAACTTACCAAAATCGCGTTAAAATATAGTTAAGAAAAAACATAAGAATCCAAAANCAACAATTTTGAATGTATTTTGAATGTATATTTTGTCCAAATCTTAATTTTGATTTAAAATGAAAATTTCACGTGGTTTTATCTGATTTGCACATTTTGCAAAAGAAAAAATTATTTAAAAAAATTGGAAGAATTTGTTAAGAATTCTAAAACTATTTATTTAATAAATTAGTATCCAATTTGCACGGTTTTTAATTTAATTTGTATTTAGAATTATTTTTGTAAGTAATTGACACATTTTTTTGCATTGAAATCTCTAAATTTGTTACGAAAAAATAGGATTCAAATTTTTATAAAAAAATAAAATAAAAAAATGATACGAAAAAAATAGAATTTAAATTTTGCCATAAGAATCTCTAAATTTGTTAAAAAAAAAAATAGGATTCAGATTTTGTTACTAAAGATTCACATATGTTTTTTTTTTAATTTCAACAAATAGTAAGTCAAACATTATTTTTTTTTAGTCAAACTTTTTTTCCAACAACCTATTTATATATAGATAGATATAAAAAGGTTTGATTATTTTTAAAATAGTAGTTGTTTCCCGCCAAAAAAATCCCTGATTACTAATTCTGGAAATATATTAGCCGCAATTTCCATATTTAACGCTTATGTTTTTTGGAAAATTTTAATTAGTATGTAAACAGATTTCTTAGCCACAATTTCCATATTTAATGCTTATGTTTTTTTTTTGGAACTTTTTAGTTGATATGGAAACAAATTTCTGTTTTTAATTTAAGATAATTCCTTTGCAAAACTAATTAGCAGGAATATGAATATATTAAGATTCTGATTTATATAAATATGGAATTGTTATGGAATCAGATTTCGGTCATGATTTTATAAAACAATTAAGTTAATTCCTTAATTAAAAAAAATTAGTATTCCATTTAGCTAAAAATTCTTTTTTTCAGTTCGAATATTGAATAGTTTGTGCGTTCTTTTTGGAATATTGAATTAATGATAGAAAACTAAATCGGTGGTAATGTATACAAAAGAGAATAATTTATTTTGTTTAATATAATTTATTATAGGTTACTTGCACCGTACGGATTGTGTATTAATTTGAAATATAAATGTTTTATGTATTTCTGCACAATTTAAATCTCATATAACATTTTCAATAAATTAATATAGGTAAATTGTATTACATATTAATTTCATATTTTTAATTTATAAATATTATTTAATGAATATTTTAATTTATAAATATTATTTAATGAATATTTTAATTTATAAATATTAATGAATATCTCTACCCGTGAGTCGCACGGGATTCGTACTAGTTTCTTATAATGAGAATGTGAGACTCAATCATAGCCACTAATTTATGTAGAATTAATTGCCCATATTAATCAATATTTTTTTTCAAACGACAGAAACACTCTTATAACAAAAATGAGAAAATACACGGAGGTTCCAAATCCTGCAATACTGAGAGGACAAGCACAACACGTGCCGCCTGGCCCAACCAAATGACTAAATCAAATGACTATAATAATACCTGAACCAATTACACCATAGCCGCACCACAAAAATAAGAAATCACAAGCACAACATAGGAAATCATAGAACAAGCCAGTGAAAACAGCTAAACCAAAAACAGAAACAAATACAAAGAAATCAAAACCACTGACACGAGACTTAGTCTTGCCCTTTGTATTGCTCCTGCTCAAACCGCATTTCTGCCTTGGAAATCTATCCAGTCCCTATAGGCTGCCTTGATGATCCTAGACTCCGATTGCCGTTTCTTTTTAAACACCCACAAATTACGAGCACGCCACAACCACCATAATATATAGGTTGAAAGATGGATTCTATCTTCTGCAATTTCATCACAAGGCATTGAGCTGATCCTCCACCACCACTCTTTGACAGACAACTTCTCGTCATGGACTCTGTTCCAATGAACATGTGTTAATCTCCATGTCTTGAGGGCTCTAGGGCATTGGAAAAGAACATGCTCCTGTGTCTCCTCAACTACTCCACATAAAGGACATACAGTAGCCACTTGAACTCTTCTCTTCTGTAAACTTCATTGCACAGGTACTATGTTGTTGCAGCAACTCCATATAAAGTGTTTAATTTTACTCAAAACCTGCAAATTCCAACATCTTCTCCTAGCTCTGAGGTTCCCTGCAGCAGTTACACTGTTTTCAGCAGTAATGACACTACTGATTTTTTATTTAAGAAGCATAGGGTACACTGCTTTGACACTGAAAATTCCCTTCTTAGAAAAGGAACAACTCCACACATCATCAGTCAAGGGTTTTAAGCCCTTTTTCTTCAAAATCTCTTCAGCATCATCCTGTCTGAATAAGGCTCTGATTAACCTGTCATCCCACATTTTTCCTCCACCACACATTAGGTCTTTAACCTTGATCACATTAGCATCAATTTGAGATATCAAGACTGGTTTTCTACCTCTGAGCTCAGGCACCCAGTGACAATCATTCAGTCTAGTGGTTAAGACATTTTTAATAGAAATTTTCACATGGCATTTCAGTATAGGAATCAAGGTAACCCAAGAGTTCCACAGCCAAGATGCTCCTTGTACCTGCCTGTAATCAAACAAAGAGTTGGAGTGGAAATATCTGTGTTTGAGCACTTGACTGACCAACAACTCCTGCTGAGAAGCTATTCTCCACACCTGCTTAAGAAGGAGAGCTCTGTTAAACAACAAAATATCCTAGAAACCAAGACCTCCTTCAGATTTAGGTATAGATAGCTTATCCCAAGCCTTCCAGTGAATCCCAGAACTCTGAACTTCACCCTTACTCCACCAGAATTCAGCTATTAGCGTGCAAACATCTTTGAACACACCAACAGGCAACAAGAAACATGACATGATAAACATAGGGAGAGCACTAAGCACTGCTTTCAATTGACATCTACATTTATTATATAATAAATAAATGATATCATATTAAAATCTATTACTATGTAATAGAGATAGAGATTTACTTGAAATTAGTGTTAAAATTCCCGCTTAAAATGTTCAAAGATACTATTCTTATTATATATTTTTAGAAAATGACGGCTTAATGAAAATTCAAATTCAAATTTAAAAAAAAAAATTGTTATTCTTGAAAGATTTTGTGTAAACCTTAAAATTCCTAAAATATGGCCAACGATTTCTTTAGATGCTACAAGTAAATCTGGCCAATAATAAGAAAGAATCTTGTAAATTCTTGCTTCTGAAAAATTTGGTCAAATCACTTCCTTAAATTTTTTCGGTTAAACGTGTAAAGTTTGTTACAAAAATACAATCAATTGTTAAACGAATAAAACGTTTGAATTTATTTTTTATTTGAAATCTTTTCAAAAAGTTGTGCCAACTTAATTGTTAAATATTTTTTTTTATCCATATTTATCTATCTACAAATCTCAATTTTATGTTCACAACTAAAAATTCGTATTTATTTAATAAAGAATGTTAATTTCATAAATTAATTTCTATATTCCGGATTGTTCAGATGATTTTTTTTGTCCATATTTATCTAACTACAATATTTTTTAAAATTTATCTAAATTATATTTTTTTTATATACACTCTGTCTTTCTCTTCTTCTGTGGAAGTTATCAGTTTTGTTACGTCACTTTTCTGTTTTCTTTTGGCATGAGTTTTTTTCCAATGGGAACCAAATATGAGATTTTTCAGGATTTATGATAAGGATAAAACAAGAAAATAATAAATACATCTAAAACGTCATTTAAAAAACTACAAAGATTACAAACTCAAACGGTATTTATTCTTAAATGGATGAAGTAAGAAGATACTAAACCGTAAATATCATACAAATTAATATTGGAAAAGAAAATAATTCAATTGGACGAAATGACACAACGTATTTACAAATTGATGAGAATTAAATTTGAATATTAAATCTATGTCACACAACAAATTTGATGATGTTTGATTTTGAATATAAAATAATATTTAATTTTTATTATAAAATCAATATATGATTTATTTGAATATGAAATCTAGTCATACAATAAAGTTAATGAATAGTTCTATAGAGAAGGGATCATATGAGAATGGTAGATAGTGAAAGAAATAAGAATGTTTATGGACTGTTGGATCCAACATATCAATGGCTATCATTAAGTCCAACATTAATATAACAGTCAAACATAGGGTGGCATTGTTATAAATAAGTGTATACTTCATAGTCATATCTACACATTTAAACATTAAATAAGGACAAACTGGTAAATTTAAAATTACACCCATCACATGTGGGACCCACTATCACCATTACCAACCTTTAATTTCTCTCTCATATACTCACACACATAGATCGGATTTCACACACACTCACACACACACACACACCCCGATCAGATTTTTCCACGGGAGACCACTCTAACTGCAGCCCGCCGCCGCATTCCTCCGCCCGCCGTCGAGTGTCGCATCTATCTCGCTGCTTGCTATCGACTTCCGCCGGACAACCCGACGCAGCGCCTACCTCCGTCGGACTCTCTCCTGAAGTTGCAGACAGTCGCGGCCACCGCCCGCAATGTCCCGTCGTCACAATTCTGCAACCGCCACAAGATCCACCACGGACGCCGTCTAGTGGATCGCTGCAACGAACTTCACGGCCACAGTCCACCGTCGATCGCCGTCCAGTTCACAATAGCTAACGCACCCACCGGTCAGTCGAGTGCGACGGTTGCCCTCACAGCGAGATTCCCTAATCCGTCGGCGCGCAGAGACAGAGATTGCAAATTATCGATCGGAAATATGTTGTTTCGAGCCGTTCGAACTCGTCGCCGGCACGAGAGGTGAAATTGAAAGACCGGCGATTGAAAGATGAAAAATTTCTGGTGAATGAAATTGAATCGAGAGGTGAAATTGAATTGAGAATTGCTGGTGAATGAAATCGAATCGAGAGGTGAAATTGAATTGAGAATTGCTGTTGAATGAGAGACGTAAATGTCGTTATGTTTCAAGATTTTAGGGGCATGTATTTGAAAATTTGATAAATGTAAGGGGCTTAATTACAATTCTAGGGTTTTTATTAAATTTCAATTTAGTACATAAGTCAAATCTGTAATTTATGAAAAGTATATTAACTACACAATAATGATAATGAAAATGTAAAATATTATTTAATAAATTTATATTATAAATTGAATAAAAAAATATTACTTCAAAGTAAATAAAATATAATTGAATCGAAATATAAAATTTCGAACCAAAAATTCTAGTTCGCTCGGTTTCGACGGCTAGCGCAAACTGATAGTCAATGACGTGCAATCTGTACAACATCATTGTGCAGTTGTAATACATATAAATACAAAATAATAATAATAATAATAATAATAATAATAATAATAATAATAATAATAATAATAATAATACTTTTATAAGTAAAAACAGATTATGGAACCGAAATGTAAAAATTTCAACTGATAAAATTAGTTCAATCGATTAAGTGCAATTTGTATCATTAATGTGCAATTCATCTAATAGTATGGTGCACTCTCAGCGTATGTATTTTTAATAATTTGTTCTAACCCAAACTAAAATAGAATTTAAATAATCGGTAAGCGAAATACTCCATATAATATAAATAATTTAATATTTAAATTATAAAAAAATATCTAGTATTTTTAATATTTATATTTAATATTTTTTAGCTGTAAATAAATAATATTGTTGTATAAAAATATATTTTTATATAGTTAGTTGGTTTGATTATTTTGGTTACTTTAAAAAAATAATGTCGATATTGAACTGACATAATTGATAATCAACAAATAAAAATAAATAATCGAGCCGAAATATAAGATTTCGAAACGAAATATTTAGTTCATTCATTTTTTATCATTCTGTGCAATGTGTCTAACATTATGGTGCAACCTGATAGTCGTTAAAGTACAATTCATCTAACACTATTGTGTAGTCGATGTGTATTTATTATTTATTATTATAAAAGTATATTTAGTATTTTTATTATTTTTTATATATTACAATTTCACATATTAAAACTCTTAAACTTTGCATACCTTATTATCATTAATATTCATTTATGAGATATTGCTATAAATTACATATTTGGTCGTGAACTAAATTAAAAAATACTCAAAATTTATAAAATAGCAAAATTAACCCTCAACACTGTCTAATTTAAAAAAAAATGAATCATAGCCCTTGGATGTGATATATCAACGCTCTAGACGCGGTCAAATGATTCAACTTTAATCAAATGCGCGGTGGCATTTCTGTAGATAAGCGGACTTTGATTTTCACGCGAGGGTATTACATTCATCGCGCGAAATGCACTGTTGCGATAAAGTGCAATATCACATGCACTAAAGTGCAATTCGTCCAACAATATGGTGCAGTCTGTATCGTGCTATTTTTAATGTGCAATTTCGAACGCTATATAGTGCAATACGATGTACATTAAAGTGCAATTATTAAAGTTTTATAAAATTCCCGACTTAACTCATGAACTAAATTGTAATATAATTAAATATTTTAAAATTACAATTAGCTACTCAAGTCTATCTAATTTTCATAAATCGTTTTGATTTTATTCCAAAAAAAAAAAATCAGAATTCGTTCATCCCCAATTTCAAATCTCACCGGCGAATTCTTGAAAAGCAACCACTGACCGTCGCGCATCTACGACGTCCGCCGGGGGTTTCCACGGTCCAGTCATCGGTCTGCTAGAAGAGTAAGTCAGAGAGTCCGACATTGATTTTGATTTTGACGAGATGTCGTAGGGTCGGTCGCGGGTGGCTGTCTGGTTAGGGTTCCGAGGCGACGATAAAAACGATGAAGGTGATTCGATTCACGACGGTGAGATAAGGAGGGGGCGCTGAGGAAGACGATGGACCCGTCTTCGATCGTCGGGATCGCAGGTGGAATTATGTTCGAAGGAGTGGCGGGCGACGGATCTCAATTCTGGTGGTCTTCTCCCAGTGCTTACGGAGGCGAGATTCTCTGAGGCGGTGGCAGTTGTGGAAAGCGGTGGTGGCTGAGGAAGGTGATGGCGGAGGCAGTGTTCGCGGGCGGCGGGCGGTGACCGACGGGAGGTTGTGACAGGAAGGTGCTGTGTGTTAGTGTGTGTGTGTGTGTGTGTGTGTGAGAGAGAGAGAGAGAGAGAGAGAGAGAGAGAGAGAGAGAGAGAGAGAGAGAGGCGGGTGAGGGGGTCTGATTGGGTGTGGCCTGTGGTTGTAATTGGGAAATATCCAATTTAGCCTTAATGAGTATAAATGGTTGGCTTTTTTAAACTGTTGGATTATCCGATCGGACGGCTGCGATGTATTCTCATTTCTCGCACTATGCATCATTCTCATGTGAACCTAACCCTAGTTCTATATATACCAATTTTATTTTATTTTATTTTATATGTTTTAGTTGTATATGTACCAATTTTTATCTTATCTTATTTTTACTATTTTTTTTTAAAAAGACAAAGTCCTAAAGAATACAAAAAAGTCCCATTAAAATATCATATAAATTGTAGCTTTAATAATGTTAAGAGAATAATTTTGACTACATAAGAATTATTAAAAGATCAATTTTCATAAATTTAATAGAAGAATTTTGATTCATAGGATTAAACTCTCTACGTTAAAGAGATAACAGAGCCCAACATCACGTACTCAAATAAATTTAATAATTTTAAAAATATCAGAAATCATAAAACAATGTGGGATAGTATTTAATAATTTTTTAGATATTTTTTTAATAATAGTTTAGAAAAATTTAAGTGATTTCACAATTTTTTTTTTTATGAATAATATAGAACATTTTAGATATTTTTACACATGTTATATTTTAACTTACATATTTTTACACATGTTATATAACATTTTAGATGTTGTTAATATTTTATATAGATATGCTTTACGATTTTTTTAAATATTTAATTTTCATAAGACATTTTGAACAAATTAAAATATTTTACTACATATTGACCACATATTTTTAATTTATAAATCTTATTTATCAATATATCGGAGTATAACTTCTTCGTACACTTTTATACTGTTTGGTTCATTTTCATATTTATCTAACTATAATTTATTATATGGTATATAATAATTTCATATTATGTCGTCGGTCCAAATAAAACTAAACCAATTAATGGTGTTGAATCCAACACAGATATAATACGACTTTAAACTTTTCAAAATATGTTCGTCATTTTTCATCTTGTACCCAAATTACAAACTTTAATGTGAATCCTAAATATCTCATATTTAATAAATATATATACTTTTTTTTTTAAAAAAAAAAACATGACGTTTCATATAATTAATTTTATCATATATCATATGTTAGATGTAATTGGTTTAGTTGGAGACACTCATTCTATTCAAATAAATAATATATAATTTTCATATTTTGTATTTCTTTTCTCGCATTAATGTGATGTTAAATATAAATAATTATTTTTAAAATAAACTGTTAAATAAAGTTTTCATTAACAAGCCCGTCCGTGCATCATTCGTGATATGCACTAGTTATTAAAAAATTAATTGGCTGGCAGTCGGTGACCAACATCCGACAACGTTGACCGACATTGACCAATGTTGGCCGATGGTGACATCACTTTTAGTTGCAAGACTGTACATTCAGTTGATATATAATGCATATTAGTTTATACAAAATTGCATACTTAATTAATTGATATCAGTGACATATTTTGAAGCACACATCGACCTAATGCACATTTAGTTTATATACAATTGCATATTATGTTGATAATAATTGCATATTGAGTTTTAAAACTGCACATCATAATGAATATTTATACATAATACATATTTAGTTCATATCAATTGTATATTTTGAAGCTCTCATTTGTCGGTCAATCAATTATTTAAATAATTATAAATTAAAATATTAAATTCTCCTCACACATAATGTCTCCATTTAGCTGTTTAATAGGTTTCACACCTGAAGTGAATAATATTTCACCCGGACTCCTTCAACTCGAACGGCCACGAGACCTGCAAGAACCCAACGCCGGGAGGGGTCCCGGCGTCGGGCCTCCGACGCTCAAGTCAGTATTACTCCAAATACTAAGTATAATTATGAATATAGAGAGAATGAGAGAATGAGATACCTTAGCCATTTTTTAAAGGGGAAGTGTACCTTATGGCCCAAGTTGGGCTTGTCCAATAGCAATATGCCACGTGTCCTGGCCATGTGTAAGCTTATTTCTTCAATATATTCCCTTTTTATCCATTAAATCCGGTCTAGTATAATATCCTATATCAACACCCTTTTTTTTAAAAAAAAATCTCCACGTGAATGTACAAATTAAAAGGGCATACACATGTTTCCTTGACNTTTTTTCTTTTTTTACAGAAACCAAAAAACCGAAAGTCTACCCAAAAAGGAAAATCTAAACCTAGGCTGTAAGGAGTCCAGACAAGCAGTCTGACCCATCAAAGGACATAATACAAGAACAAAACTAGAAAAATATCTACAAAGAGAAGAAAACTAAACAACTAGAAGGCTACCAGAATTTGAACGAGAAGTAGCCGTCTTAGTCCATCCGTACACCGGTGCGAAGGCGAAGCGGAGTGTCATCGGGGCCAAAAGTTCCCCTCTGAGGAACGGTTCCCCTCTCAAAAAATGTGCGAAATCCGATAACGGACCGACTAGAGTGTAGATCTGATGCGCATGAGTGGGTGTTGTATCTGCTACGAGCCCTGGTGGCCCGAGGTAAAGAGGGTGGCGACAGCGGCAGCATCCAGCTCAATCCAAATATAAGTAGAGATAAATACAACAATTTAGAGACCGATCTAGAACGCCTGAATCTCTGCGTCATAACTCGAAGTGGTCTTAAGAGGGGTATGGAAATCTAAAATGAGTGCTCCGGTGTGATTTCTGCTCAGGCCCCTCCTTTAGCGGCTCCTGTGAGTTGGTTGAAGTTCACACCCATTTTAATATTTCTTCTTTTTGTAGGTTATTACATGGTACTTTAATTTTTCTTGTACGTTGCCCTCCAATGACAGTACTTTCACAATCTGTCTTCATATGCGGAAGAGGCCCAGCGTATAAATACAGCAGCTACTGGCTCCTCTCTCTCTAAACCCTGTGTCCTCAGAATGTGGAAGAAAAAGCTCCATCATTCTACACAAATCTCAACAATCCTTACTCGCGCGATAACTTCAGCGAATTTCTGTCCATCAAATTCCATTTCCCGCTGTTGTAATCCTCCGACCTCCAATTTCTCCTCTTCTTCGTCTTTTTTACGTGGCAGGCCCAAAGGAAGAACATTTTATTCTGCGAGAAATTTGATTTTCCCAGCTTCGAGTAAAACTCTTACGAGAGATTTTGCAAATTCGTTTCTGAAAATTGAGAGATTTTTCTGCTTGCAATCGAACTCCGCCCTGAAATCTCACTGCTGGAATTGCGGTTTTGAGCCTGACAACACTATGCCGTTCCTCTTCTGCCAGGCATGTCGCAGTGTCCAGCCTGTTGATGAAACTATTGACTATTTCCAGATTTTCGGACAGTGAGTGTATTTGTTCTCGTTTATCGATCTNTTTAAAGTCATGGAGTTTGAATTTTGGTGTAGATTTTAAGATAACTGTCCTCAGCATCTGTGTATATAGTATTTGTTGTTCTTTGTACAGTTTGTTGTATTAAAAAAATGATGAGGGAGCTCTTTTTGACATTAGGGGAAGGGAATATAAACTTGAGGTGGATAAATTGGAAAAGAAGTACAAAGACTGGCAAAAGAAGCTGCATCCTGATCTAGTCCACTCAAAATCTCAGGTTAGTATTGGTTCTGAACTGCTCTTTAAAGTTCCTTTTTTTGGTTGTCATATATTTTTTTCCGTAAAATATCATACATTTTCTAAACTTACTAATGTGGATGACTAGAGGGAGAGGGAGTATGCTGCTGAACAATCTGCTCGAGTTATAGATGCATATCGCACACTCACTGATCCATTGTCGAGGGCAATATATATTGTAAGTTCTCTAAATTTGTATAAAGCAGCATTAAATCGCCTTCTTAATTGATTCTTCAAAAAGAGAATCTTATTTTATTGGGGATTTTTTTTTATCTTTCCTAATATTATTCTGTGCATCTTTTGTTTCCTTCTTAAGATCACATTATATAATTAAGTTTTTCGCAATAGATGACTTCAGAATATTGCTCAAGAAATTCATGTTGTTTGGAAAACATTTCAAAAAAGAAATAAAAGAAGGCATCTGGAACCTTGATGTTTCACTCTTCACTCAGGATGAATGTGAGGCTTTGATAACTTTAGTAGTTAGATTAGGGACATTTTCTCTTTGATTTGTGTCGCTTATTAGTAATTAAAAGCTGTCAAACTAGGCTTTTGTCCCTTGTTATCCACTCATAGCTGATAGCACTGTCAATCTTTGTATGTTTTGATTACTTCGTCTTGTTTTTCATTAGGTTTTGTTTGGCATGACTTTGTTTCTTCTCTTTTCCACTCATTTGCACTCATTTTCCATGTAACATATGCAGTTGAAATTAGAAGCTGTGCTTGTTGATGAAGAAGAAAGGATTACAGATCCTGAGCTACTTGCTGAGGTAATTTTATACACCATGAAGTCTTCTTCTGTGAATTCCTTTTAGTCGCATTCTGTTAGTAATTTCTTGTTTTTGCAGAGTGAAGATTATGGCATGTGGATGTCTAACCATATATCTATGTGCATAAATGTTGTACCTCTTTCCAATCTTATTACTGAGGTTCTTGGAGGATTCAATGACACGAGGCAATTTGTTTCCCCATTTCATCCGCATGTTATTTAGCACAAATTAATATTTTAGGGTGCAAAAATCATTTCATTATATGTTAAATACAGTTAGCTGGCATGATTGCCTAACTCTCACCAGTTTTCTATGGAAGTAACTTCAAACATTATATTCAGTTACTTTGAAAGCAAGTCAAAACATGTTGGATGATGTGAGCTATACCTTTGTCATACTCAATGCATGAAACTATAGCATGTGACTGGATACTTAATATAATTTTTCTATGTGTTTTTGAAATGTTTGTGATGTACTTCCACTTTCAAGGTCTAGTAGTCTAAGCTCTCATTTAAGTTTGAAGGAAACTAATTTTCGAATTTTATTTGGAATGGGCCATGGCAGATCATGGAATTAAGGGAAGCTGTTGATGAGGCTGATGACACTCGGGCATTAAATGAGATCCAGTCTCAGGTACAAACTGAATGCCGTTCAATAATCTATGGACATGTGATATAATTTCTCTTGGGAAATAACAGCTATCAAAGAAATCATAGATATGAAGGGCTTATTTGGTCAGTTTCAACATTTACTAGCATTAGCTATGGCACAAATCATTTATCTGTGAATAGGTTTTCAAAAGTGCCTGAGGCAGCAATATTTTCTGGAGGTAATAATTCATTCCCAACTTATAACTGTGATGTGCATATGCGTGTTGCTTGTGCCTTGCAGTTGCGGGAAAAACTGGTGCATTTGACCGATTCATTTGAAGATGCTTATCGGAATAAAAACTTTGAAAACGCTCTTGCTTCAATCCGTAGGATGACTTACTATAAACGTGCTAGTGAAGAAATTGTGAAGAAGGTTTAATCCACAGGGCATCCTACTTGTACTCTTAGATGGACTCAAACTTGATTGGTATCGCAAGTTACTTCTATTAGTGCAATTAAAAGATGGCATTGGTGAAAATAAAGAAATGCTTGGAGCTCTTACGTATATTTGGTGTCCCTCAAACTCTCTATCCAAAGACGTTTTGCTGAATTACGAAATATTAGCTATGAACGGATCATATGAAAGTGGTGAAATAATAAGTATGCACTGCTTGAGATGTGAAAAGAAAATGCTACCCACATACTGATCATTGTTCCCAAATGGGCTTTTATGGTTTATGTGATTTTGACTGTAGAGTGTGTTGGTTAATTTGATCTCAAGGGGCAGAAAGATTGTTGTGATTGAAATTTTCTATTGAGTAAAAGATTATCATTTTTTTTTTTCGAACTTTGGCAGCTTCCCGGACAAACAGGTATGAATTTTGGGAATATCCCTCAGTCTTATATTTGCTTTTCTGTGCTGTGAAATTCCTTCTCACTTCTCTGTACTGTCAAATTCTGCTCAATTTTAGAAGAAACAAGAGAGAAGGAAACTATAACCATATGTAGCTTTCACCATTTATTATTCCCTGTGTAAAAATGGTGTCGGTATCCTGACCGTCGAAGCCCCTGCTGAAGCGGCATAAATTTTCAGCTTCGATATGCAGCAAAACTTCCCGGACAGCACTCAACCAACACTCGGACAGCACACCAACAGCAGCGGCAACCCTGAACAACAATTGACGGTCACGAACAACTGCTAAACAGTGCCGGACAGCTGCTAACAGTCCCAGATAGCTACAAAACGAGTCCAAACAGCAAGAGAGCAAACAAATGAGTATTTTTGGGGCAAAGGGAAACAAACCAAAATTTTGATTCAGGAGGAAAAGGAATGAGATCATTGTAATTGTAGATGAAACTTGTTGAGGGTATTTCGGCGCAGACCCCGTATAATTATACCCACGAAAATCACAAAGAATCTAGCTTCGGATCATGACCATGCGATTTACCGGCACCCGAGTTTCAGTAGCACAAAGCCTTGCACAAAAGAATTCTCGAAATACTCACTAGTAGAATACACAAAGTACTCTCTATTTTTATCTCTATCTCTGCTCTATTTTTTTGTTCACAAACACAGCACACACATCACTCACTTGTGTCTCACTCACACACACACACAAGCACTCATTCCCTTAAACACACAGTGCACTCACAAATTTTGCATTCTCACAGAGCACTCTCGAGCACACACTCAAAGATTTTTTTTTCTTTCTTTTTTCTCCATCACTCACAAAGCACTTCATTTTCTTTTTCTCTGTTTTCTGCTCTCTCCTCTTTTTCTCACCACGCACACAGAAGGCTACTTGAAAATAAAAGGATGATGAGAGGAAAATAGGGGAGAACCGGGTAAAGCTAGCCAATGGAACACTCGTCTCACAAAAGTTTAGGAATGAAGAGTAATTGGGGAAACGGCAGGAGATTATACATTAGTAGAAAAAAAACAATTTTTATAACGGGTAAAAAAGACTTTATAACGGTTTTGAATTCGTTATAGTTTCAGACGTTATAAAAAGTGTGAACTTTCTATGATGGTTGTGACCCATTATAAATTGACTGCCATTTATAACGGGTTAACATAGACCAGATATAAATATTTCATTTACTTGTTATAGACTACACTATTTTATAACAGTTCCTCATTCACCCGTTATAAAAACAATGTATTTGATAACGGGTAAATAATGACCCGTTATAATTTTGAATCGAGATTAAAATGCACAATTTTTTAAATCGTAGATAACACCTGTTATAAAAAAGGTTGCAACATTTTTTTTTTTTTTAGAAACAAAACTGCCATATCAACAAACAAATAACAAAAGAAAATATCTACCATTACTTCAATGCCAACACAACAACAGTATAGTTCAACTTCACAAACACAACAATACCAAGTGACAAACTGTTTCACATCACATGTTCAACAAACTACGAAGCGTGTCTAACAAAAGTCTAATCTTATCCTACTTCACTAATGAAGTTATATCGAGAAAATACTGAATCCAACGTCTCCTTACATCATCAATATCATCATTCGAGAAGGGTTTGTCCAAATTAAACACCTGAAATTTGAAAAAATAATCATGACATATGATCAAGGCGAAAAGATAGAATAAATTATTTACTTCAAAATATATTAGTGCTTGATATTTACATCTCGAGTATTATTCTAAATTACCTTATCAAAGTTGTTAGTCACGTCGAGTGTGATGATTTCCAACATATATCTCATAATTAAATACAAGCATTCAACACCTCCCGATTGTTGACGACACTTGAAAAATATGAAAAGAATCGCATAAAATTAATAACTTACGAAAAATAAGATAAATGTAATGATTAAATTTCTAGTAACGAAATGAAACTGCAAGTTACAAAATAACATTGTTTAAAAAATATATTTACCTTTGGATAGACCAATTCGGGTTTCTGTTTGTAGGGATGATTTCCCTTCATTAGCTCATATGTGGAAAATGCCCTAATATAATAAATGTAAAATAGACATTTTAGTTTCAAAATAAATTCTAAAAATTATATCAAAATCATATAAAATAAACATACGTCATGATTTTCTGGAGATGGGCTAGTGGACCCGACCCGTGAAATGGTTTCTTTGGGCCATCCCCAAAGGACATTTGGGCCACAAAAAAGAACGAGGTTAATTTACATAAGCGAAATTTCAAATTTAAGTCCTGTAATTTCAAATTTTGTTGCAATTTCACTCACAAAGGACTGAAATTGCAGCAAAATACGAAAGTATAGGACTTAGGACTAAAAACGCCACTTGATCAAACCAGCAGGACTAAAAATGCAATTTCGCCATTTACATATATACTTAATTAAATGCTAAATAGTTGTAAATATACCAAATGAAAAACTTGTTTGCACATCTACCTAACCTAACATAAATATTTAGATAAATACTATCCATCACACACCCATTTTCTTGAAATTCAGATCCAAAACCTCCACTTCAATTTCTACTCTCATCCGTCGCCTCACACCTACCTCGTCGTGATCCCAAATCTCTTCCGCGACACCAGCCGTCTGTTGGGATCTATGAGGATCTCGTTATGTACAAGTTAAGAATAACAAACATAAATCTATGCGCAGCGGATCTAAAGGTTTTACATAGAAAACTTACGGCTTAAAATTTTCTGAATCTGTCAGATTCGAGATGACCAGGAACAGCACACGAACGGAACTGGATCACACGAACAGAACATCGGGGTAGGCTCGTGTCGCGATCTGGTCGGGTCGTGTGGATGTCGGGATCGTCGGTCGTGTTGATCTGCTCGTCGCAGCTTGCCGACGGTCGTGTCACGAGGCTGGCTGGTTGCGGCGGTCGTCCGGCAGGTTGAGTCGGCGGTCCTCGTCTTCGGGTCGTGGATAGTCGACTTCTGTGAAAGATCACCGGGTCTCGATACCTTTCAATTTTCTACTGCATTACTCAAACACATCTTCAACTTGTACCGATAGAGCAACAAGAAGAAGACAAAGCTCGAATGAGAACTGAGAGAGAAAGAGGCGAGAGGGGCGTGTTTCGCGTGAATGTGGAATTCTCTTTTCTTCCTATGAGCTTAATGATGTATATATAGAGCTACAGTAGGGACCCTTAGAAAATTAGGAATAGGGCTCCTTAATTAATTAGACTAAATGTAGGCCAAACTCACTCTTCTAATTAATTAAATAATATTATGGGTCACCAACATAATATTATTGCACTCCCTTTTCCTAGCCCAAATTACATTTGAGACTTTAATTATAATTACCCGCTTTACCTCTCTACGTTTAAGATATAATGTCCATTAATTAATTCGATTACTTATGATCAAGAATTAATTAATTTATTATTATTTTACCGAAGCTAGCGCTCGTTCATCACATTATTATTATGCCGGAACTTAATCCACCTGCAGGGTTTAGCATAACAATTTTTCATGAACTCACTTCGAGGACATCATCAAACTAACGCACATGGTGACCGTAAATATCCTAACAGCACATCCTACTGTTGGGTTCTATTAGGAACGACAACAACATGCACGTTTGAATTTTGGAAAAATAAATCCTAACGCAGCGGAATCTATAGTTAGGGTTAGGATATTACCGTTTAAAATTTTTACCGACTCAGAGACGTTTCTGATTTCCTTTGATGGAGATCGTCTGATTACCACAGCCCAGTCGGTGGAAGGGTTTGGCCTTTGTCGACTCTATTCGAGTGTTGAATCGCGAACGAATCACCGGATCGGGCTAGTCGGGCTCGGCCGGTTGGGTCGGGTTCGGTTCGGTCGGGACTTGAGTCGAACGGGTCAGACTTTGGGTCAGGTCATGTCTCCGTTGGGTCGGGCTCGTGCGGTTCACGGACAGGCTAGCTCGGGTCGCTGGCAGGGACAGGTCGCGGTCGGGTCGCGTGGTCGCTGGTAACTGGCCTGCGCGGGCACTGGTCGGGACGCGCGGGTGGCAGGCAGAC